CGGTTACTTTTCTAATAGGTGCTCCATCTTTGGGTTGATGAATGAGAAGCCAGCAAACGCCGACTGATCCATGGAGTCGATGAAGTTCTTGTCGCTGTAGGAGAGACGAGGTTTCTCGCTGAGGAACTCGTGGTCAAAGTTGCTGCAATCATTGGGCGCTTTCTGTAATCAACCACAAACATGACTCAGCAGGTGTAATGACACGGTGACATTACGGTTACGTGTACAATGAAACGATAAAAGACACGCACCACTTTAGGTTTGAAGGGAGGCTCCACCTCTCTTCTCTCCAGAGCCTGCCAGTTTATGACCGCGAAGAAGGGGTGCAAACGAATGTTACCCACAACCCCTAGCCTGCGAGTGGGATCTCTCTCAAACATCTGCAGGAAAACATGGGAAAATTTGTAAAATTCAAATAATCAAATAATCATGATTGAGATAAATTAATATTCATTAATATGACATAAAATAAACATTGCTGAAACAGTAAGAATCTAAACGAGCGTCTTATTAATATGGAGTTCATGGATTGGAGTGATTTCTGTGCATTTTAACAGTGGCGCAACAGCAGGGATCCTCAAGCCCTGGTCCGTGGACCGGTACCAGTCCATAGATAATTTACTAATTTACTTAATTCAGAGAGAATCCACTCACTATTGACTTTCTTCCTTTAAAGATAATCTGTCAATATTTAGAAATAATGTCATTGAGACTAAAATACTAACAGAAGTCTAAAAATGTTTTATTTTGAAAATGTAATGATCCTTAATGTAAATCAACAAGTGGTCAGCAGTAACGGTCGGTACCAGCCGACCGGTCCTTGGTACAAAACAGGTTGTGGACCGCTGGCTTATAAAACGTATTAAGAGTTCTTCTTTTTAAAGTGAAGCTCTTGTCATATGATTCAGTTTAAAAAATGTTAAAACTGGTTTGTCAGGAGTAGAGCTACAGACCCTCTCCAACAAGTCCTTGGCTTCTTTGTTGATCCAGCGGGGGTAGTGAGGAGTGTCCATGCGGATGGACTCAAACAGCTCGTCCTCATCATCTCCGTGGAACGGCGACTGTCCGACCAGCATCTCGTACAGCAGCACGCCGAACGACCACCAGTCGACTGAGAAGGAGTATTTCTGTCCCAGCAGGATCTGACGTTTACACAGAAACGAAGCGTTAGAGACTCGGACACGAGAGGGTTTCAGACAAGTGGAGCCTCGGTGGACGGTTCTCCGTGGGCCGTACCTCTGGAGCGATGTAGTCCGGAGTGCCACAGAAGGTCGTGGCACGATTCTCTCCCAACACGTTCTCCTTGCACATGCCGAAGTCTGCGATCTTTATGTGTCCCTCGTGATCCAGCATCACGTTGTCCAACTTAAGGTCTCTGAAAACAAATAAAAAGTTTGGAAAGTGTATTTAAAAAAGCTCTTATGAATTAACTTATTTATACCCAAACCTGTAACCAATTCACCAGAACTCAGTAACACCCTAAAATGCCTTTGAGAGTATTAGAGGCATTTAATTTATTTCTTAATAAGAGTTCATGTTTAACAAGTAAAAGTTCAAAAGTTCAAATACAATAAAACTTCAGATTGTAGTTTTACTGGTATTTGTCTGACGTGTACACCAAGTACTCTGGAAATGCCGTTTGTTCAAAAATACACCAAATTACTTTTTAAAATTTAAAACATGGATTGAATGACTTGGGATTAAACAACCAGGGAACGCCGTGAATGAAACGCAGCTTCACTACAGCACCAAAGAAAAGGCATCAAAGAGGAAACGCATTATCAGGACTTTAATTCAAGGCCAGCCTGCACGATCACTTCCTGTGGTTGTTTTTGTTTCACTTGGTTAAAATTGACAACAGAAATCCACAAACACTTATTGGTTGAAATATTTCCAAAAAAAAAAAAATATATATATATATATGTATATATATATATATGTATATATATATATATATTCACTACATATAGATAAGTAGTGGCTGAAAAACAAAGGTTTTGCTAATTTTAATAACAATCACCAAATACTATTATTTAATTTCTCTACAATGTGCAATACCAGTCAGTTAATTTCTAGGTGCTTTTTGTTTGTTTTTTGTTTTTTTCTTTTTACCTTTGACCGTAAACTGTAATTACATTTTCATTTACTTTTCTGCAGAACGTTCAAAGGTCAGGTTCTTGAGAAGTTTCCACTCACAGCTACGTACCAGGTGTCAACAAAGGTGTCAAAATGTGTGGGGCTGTGAAACCAAGAATGTTCAGGAAACGGACAGATTTTTGGTGATCGTTCGTACGTATCGTTCAGGGCGTCAGAGTTAACACTGTTTGTCCAGTAATGTAGGGATTATTGTTGCTCTGACCTGTAGATGATGCCTTTGGAGTGTAGAAACTGGAGACCACAAATGATCTCGGACGAGTAGAAGCTGTGAAGACAGAAGCAGAGGCTCACATTAACACTGTATCAACTCCATCCTCACCTCGTCTGTAGTCGTCTCGGCTACAGCTACACGTTAGCTCAGCTGCTGCTGCTGCTGCTGCTGCTGCGGGTTCATGTCGGTGTAGTGCTGAATTATTGAGAGGGACATTTGTATGTAGTAGAAAACAACACTTTCATAAGGTGAAAGCTGAGAGCTGCTGAAAGACTAGACCGTGTCCTGTCATCGGTCTCCAGTGATACCAGGAGACAAACGTCTGCACTGACTTACTTAACTGGTTACTGGTCTCTGTAAATGACTTAAATTTTTTAACTCTCTACTCAGTAGGTCTTACCAGCATCACTCTGGAAAAAAAAAAGATTACAAGGTTTCAGTATCGATTGTCTGTCAGGAAAAGCTCTCAGGGCAACGGGTCGTCTGTGTTGACCAGGACGTCACCACTGACTCTGCAGTTTAGGAAAATATTACATAACACAGTCCAGGAGATTCCACTGTGACAAAGCCTGCAGCACATTAATGTATCAACACAGAGCAGAGGAGAGGAGAGGAGAGGAGAGGGGGGAGCATCTCTCTCTCTCTCTCTCTCTCTCTCTCTCTCTCTCTCTCTCTGTCTCTGTCTGTCAGGGTGAGTTAATTCATCCATCCAGGCTGAATGCGAGTCATTGAGTGAGAAGAGTTTCGGAGGATGCCAGCACACGATCCGGCGTCTGTGTTTACCAAGTAAAAATAACCCCCGTCGTCCCACGGTGAAGGAGGCGGCCACTAGTCTGACCGCAGCACATGTCAACGTCCACCTCACCAGTGATTAAAGCAGTGGTTGAAAACTCCAGTGAACTTTGTTTTGTTTTTTTTAACCATAATTCCTACAAAACGTCCACTTTCATTGAACAAAGGTGATGGAGTTACAAATCAGTTCAACGTCCCCGCGGTGGATGGAAATATTAAAATCTGAATTTATTTGCCTCACTGTGCCCCCTTTCCTTCTACAGTAGTTACGGTGGATGGAATTTATTTGCCTCGCTGTGCCCCCTTTCCTTCTACAGTAGTTCCACGCCCCCTACTTTGGGAACCACCGGCTTGAACAATTTGGTTTACAATAAAAACAGCAGAGCCTGAGTCTGTAACAGACATCACTTTGTGACGTTTACAGCTTTATGTGGCCCTAAAGCCTAACGATGTCGTAATCACTCATTTTACTGCTTCAGTCAAATGTGACTGACCTTATTATCAATTCCTGCCCTTTAACACTGAATTATTTTCCAAATATTTTCATTTTCTGTGAACCAAGTATGTGTTCTTTTGGAAGGCATACTTGCAGGAAACTAAAATAAACAAAACAGAAAAAATAAGAATCCTTTCTGTACGACAGACAGTATTTGTTTTGGTGTTGCTGTTTTTTTATTTTCCTCTAAACGCGCATAACCATTTTTGGCCTGAAAGAGTCAGAAGGACCATTTAGAATTTTTTAAATACAATTCAAGTGAAACTTAAAATATAATTTCAAAATGAAACTTCAAGTGAACCTTTGTGTGGGATACGTCGAAAAATATCTGGGGAAATGTATGACGGTGGACGGACGAGGCTGGTGCATCTGCTGACAGAGAGTTCACTAAGAGCTGCTCAGTCCTTACAAGGCCAGCTGGTTAGTGAGCAGCAGCTAATGGATGCCATCCCAGCAGTACATAATGTAAAAGGAAAAAAAGAACGGCAGAGAGACAAAGGGATGAACAGAGAGAGAGAGAGAGAGAGTAAACATAGGGTGCTCTTTACGAGTCTCTGGTTTCTATCAGTTCATCAAATCTGTACGTGCAGGTCTCGGAGAGCAGAGATACAACCACGCCAGTGTTGAACAACGGTCACAGGTTTTCAGTGTCATTGTGTGTGTGTGTGTGTGTGTGTGTGTGTTTATGTCTGTAGGATTGGCTCACGTGGTTCTGCAGAGATCAAAGCGTCCCTTCTCCTGAATATGAAACATCAAGTCTCCTCCGTTCAGGTATTCCATCACAAAGAACAGATGCTCCTGTAAAAAAAAAAAAAAAGATAATTTCCTTCAGTATCAAAGGTTTTAACAGACACATCAAATGACACACACAGAGACGGAGACCGCCGTACCTTGCTCTGAAAGGTGGAGTAAAGGTGCGTGAGGAAAGGGTTCTCCCAGGCCAGAGCCAGGACTCTCTTCTCCACCATAGTGCACTCCACGTCGTCATCCATCAACACCACGTCTTTCTTCAGGGCCTTCACGGCAAAGTACTCACCGCGACCCTTCAGCTCTGCGAGGAGTACCTGAGGGAGTGAGAACGTGTCATGTCACGTCAGGTCACGTCTGTGTGTGTTTGTGTCTAATTACTGCCTTCACATTTGGGATTTCTGATGCTAAAAATGAAACTCTGGATTCCCCGTGTGGGCCGCGGTCTGTTTTGGTGGCAGTAGCTCACAGTTGGATCACACGCCTCCGCCTACACTCCTGTCACGGTGACGACAGCTGTGCTGTTGTTTTAGATATATTGATATTGGAGTGTTCAGTGTTTACAACCCAGGGTATGTAAACAAAGTAAGAGGAACGAACCAAGCGTAAGGATGTTTACGTTCAACATCAGAGGAACGACGTCATTAACATGACATCCGATCAACTCACACAGTATATTTTTTAATATAAATAAGCTGTTTTTTTTTATATATATGAGAGTGAGCATGGAGTAAGTGGTTCAGCTTTAGTGTATGCTTCAGAGAGCAGTGATTCCCAATCACGGTGCTGCGGCACCGTAGTTTGCCGTGAGAGATCATCAGGTGTGTCTTTGAAAATTATCCAATTTAAGTTGATTGGTCCAAAGACTATTATTTATTTACTGCAACTAAATTATCTCTGTTTGTTAATGCAACAGTGCAGACGGAACCATTTCATACTCTTCCACTAGGTGGCAGCAGATGGCTATAATTGACAGTGTGTGTGTCTTTCTTCAATTCCTGGGAGTATATATCAAGGTTGTGTTTAGCTAAACAGGCTGTGGCGTTTTAATATTCCTGATGTTGTGCAGGTAAACGGTGAGGGTTTGTCATGTTTGTCAAATTTTCTAGTTAAAGTTTTGGCTTCAACGACAGGCTATCATACCTTGCCAAAGCTGCCTTTTCCTAGGACCTTGTGGAAGATAAAGTTGTCCACGTTGATGCGCGTCAGATGGGTAAGACGAGACTGAGGCCTCGGACTGGACCCCTCCCACAGCCGACCATAGGCGGGTCCCTCTAAAAGTTAGCATTAAAAAAAAAAAATGCACCTTTGTGTTTTATTTCTTGAACTATTTTACTCTTTTGCATTTTTAAAATTATACACAGCAAATTAAACGTGAGCTGATTTACACAGAAATACTTACTGACCATTGATTTCCAGACCAGCAAGTTTGTTCACTTCATCATAGATTCCAATGTCAGACAGATTTGGCATAGCAGGATCAGAGCGGCGGGTGGACGATTTCTGGGATGAAACGAAAAAAAAAAACACTCAATAAAAATCATCACCAAAATCTACATGGATATTTCACTTCAGCATGATTGTGTGAGACGCCTTTTATTTCAGCTGGGTTTAAAGATGCGATTAAAAATTAAAGCTCCCTAAACACGCCGCGACGGGAGGCTCAGGTTACCGTCAGGTTAGGGCGGTAATTGTAGGTGTCACTGACTGGCAGTTATTACAGTAACTGTATTCATTTAAGGTGATTAAAATGTCTCAAGCATGAACTGTTCTGTTAGTGTTCAGTTAATCATTCTTACTGGACAAAGATCATTATTCACTTCTTCTAATGTGTGGTATTTCAATGATTTTGTGAAACAAAGAAAACAAAACAAGGGCAATTTGAAACAAATTGTAGTTTTGAGGCATCTTTTAGCAGATTTTACTTTGGTTTATGTCTTCTTTCTCAGATATAATTTATGCACTGCACTTAAGTACATTAAATACTACATTCTGTAGACAGTGAACTGCACTGATTTATAAACAAATGAACAAACAGAACAAAGTGGGTCACTGAAACTCTTTTGTATGTTTGCCAATTTTTTTTGTAACTTTTCTGGAGAGAGGATCCAGATGAGACGTACGGCGTCGACTCTCTGTGACTCACCTGACTGACTTGTGTCAGCGCTTCAGCCAGAAGCTTCTGGTTGATTCCACAAAGGTTGGCAACTTTATCCTGACACTTGTGATGAACATTCATGGCACAGTCTACACAAACGATAAGAAATAAAATAAATAAATAAATAAATGTGGATTAAAAACAAAATAAAAAAGACAGTGGTTTAATGTGTACAGCTGTACCTTCACACTTCAGGCCCTGTTTGACGATGCCCCACAGCAGACTTCCACAGTGGTCACAGAAGGTGGGACTCATGTAGTTGTGGATCTTAAAACGGTGCGGCATGTCAATCTTAAAACGTTCCTTCTGGAACTGCGGGAACAAAGAGTCGTCGTCGTCATCTTCGTGCACGAGGGGGAAATAACCGCACACGTTTGGTCTGTGCTGCCTCACAGCTCGTCTGTACCTCATCTTTTTAACCACCACCGCTTCCCTTCCTGTGTCAGTACTGACCAAAGTGACCAGGCTGCTGGACACAAAGTTAGTGGTTTTCCCAGCAGGCCTGTCCCCACTCTGTATTTAAATGGCTCTTTCTGGTGGGGGGTGTGGGGAGTGTGTGAGCGCATGATCACTCCACTGTCACCATTATCTGGGTCATTTAGTTTTTGATGTCTTCATTGATCATCGGTGGGAACAGATTTAGAACCCAGCTCAAAGTCAGACACGGGAACACACGTAGGACCAGTCACATTAATCATTGTGTGTTTGAGACTGTTTAAAAAAAAAAAAAAACATACTTTGCAACAGAGTGAACTGCAGTGAGAACTGCCCACACTACAGTGCCATATGGAGATGGCTCACAGTACACGGCGTACTGCGGAAAAGTGCGTTACGTACCATAGTATCCCTGCTGTTGGCAGCCGTGCCGGTGCATCTGCCAATAATTTTGTCTATGCATTTCTTGTGGATGGCTGCATTGCATTCTGGTTAGTAAAAAAAAAAAACATGATTAGACAGACATGATACATGTACTGCGCTGATACTTCAAGTACTGCAAAGGGATTTTTTATTTTACAGGACACTTACGTCTGCATTTATAGCCCTGCTTGTTGAGGCCCCTGTGGGGGAGAGAAGGAGGGACACAAATCACTCTTTGATCATGCAAACTGATAATGAACACACGGTTGACATTCCAGCGGATGATTTGTAAACCACGGTTCCTTCCTAGTGAGTGGATGTTCTTTTCAGGAAAGACAAACATTTTCATAGTCAGATAATAACATTTTTTTTCTTCTTTTCTTCAGGTTCATGAAGTAAGCTCGCTGCCAAAAAAAACTAGATGTGTGGTTTCAGTCGTGCAAAACTCGTGCTGCCTGTAGATTTTGTTTATACGGTGCTGAAGGCAGAGTCACTGACCAGACAAAATCCCTGCACACAGAGCAGAACGTCGGCTGTCTGAAGAACGTGGCAATGAACTCATGGTTCTTGATGAAGTGGATCTTGGCCTGTTTGATGGCTCCTCGTCTGCGGTTCAGAGTCGGGCCCTCCTCGTCTTTCGGCTCCTGCTTTCTCTCTGGCAGAGACACAGAGACAGAGACACAGACCATTCATCCCCACAGTACTTCAGGAGAGAAGGCACAGAAGGTAACGTTAAATATAATATATAAGTATTATGTGTTTGAATCCCTGGTGTGTGAATATTTGTCAAATACAGGACGGAGGAAGCACAGTTGAGCTGCAGCGCCTGTGAATGAACGGGGTGGAGGTGGTGATGAGAATGAGAGGAATGAAAACTACTCATAATAAATCAGACAAACTGGTTGTGGAGCTGAAGTTGAAAGGTGTATTGACAATGGATCGTATTAACCCTTCAGTTACCAGACTCCACCGTGTCTATTTAACTCTGTTTTTCTCTGGTTTCAAATTTATTTTTATCATTTTTTCCTATTTTGTTGATTCTATTTGAATTACACCATTGTCTCTCGCTGTTGCGTGCATGATTCGTTCGACACAAATAAATCTGCATTTATAATAGCATTAGCACTAGTTAGCTTCATAAACATATTACTGCATTCGTTGCATTTTAGACATATTTAACCAACCAACCACTCAGTGAAAGTCAACAACCACATTCATAAACTCCAAGGAGGAAATACTTCAGATATGAATCATAAATATCTGACGTTAACGTGTTTCGATCAAGCTGCTTCTTTAATTACTTAAATAAGCAGGAAGTAAATGAGATTATTTTTTTAAAAACTGCTCCTCCATTCCACGCAGTTGCTGCCACTAACTGGCAGCGTCAGTGTTTACAGCATGAGAACGTTGCTGGTTTGAATCCTGGCCCTGGCAGCCCTGTCTCGTTACTGGGGCATTTTAGAGATGAGTAAAACAGGGAGAGGAAATTCCCCCCAAAAGATTTAAAGAAGAACTGAAAGAAGGTCCTGACAAAGATCAGTGCAGTCACTGAACTTTGATTCCTTCATATAAATCTGGTAACTTTGGTGCACATACCGTAATATCCTGATAAAACGTTAACTGTTGTCATTTTTCATGCATTCAAACGTACACGTTGGCCTCAGATGATGCTGAGGTTTCATCGGAACAGTTTTTCTTTAATTATTCTTTTACAGAATTTACAGGTTACAATAATTAGTCTTCAAATCCCAGTGGAACTGAAGCTGCACTCCCCCACTCCCTGGAGCCGTTTCATTCTTTGTAGAGTTTTACACAGATGTCGTCTGCCGTTGTCACAGCTGAATTACTGCCCATGAGTTTTAGCACTGCATTAACATTTTCACCACACTGACCTGTAAATAAACGTTTTTAGCTGCAGTATAATGTACTCCCATATCCCTGTAGCACTTCTTCATTTACCTGTGTCCACCCCCTCCAGAAAATACTGCACAGCCATCATCACCTTCCCAGAAGGATGCAGATCCACCTGAACACGAAGTTTAACACAGGGTTATTCACCACCAAGCCCACTGCAAAAATACATCACACTGTAAAAAAAACAAAAAACAGAGGAAGACGTGTCATACAATACCCAGAATTCCGCACGGCCGTTGGCTTTCTTGCAGCGTTCGGCCAGAACAGAGACGCCGACGGAGACCTCGGCCAAAGGCTCCTCTGCCGTCTTCATCAGCAGAACCTCAAGTACCCGACCCTCATAGATGTGTGCGTCAAAACTGGCCTTCCAGGCTGGGTACATGGTGGGTTTCCGCTGGACCAGTGTCTTACCTCGCTCTGAGAGAGAGAGACAGAGAGAGAGAGAAAAAGAGAGAGGGAGGAAGTGTTTATATTGCCGCAGGCTCGTCTTTACACAGGACAGAATGTCACACATGTGTGTTTTACCAGTCGTCAAGGCCTCCTTCATCTTGATCGCACAGAAAGGAGCATCGTCCGACGGAGGCAGGATGCCCAAGTCGTACGAGTTGAAGGTGATCCTCAAAAAAGGAGCCATGGTGACAAGTACCAGGGGTCACCTGCTGTCACAACCAGAAACAGCCAGCGTGTTTTTTTTTAAATCATCTTACACAATGGAAAAGACATCAATTTAGACCTCTTTTTGAGTTTTAAGGAAGTTGAAACAGGAAGTTGACAGAGGATAGATGACGTTGTTTTCCTATTAGACAACTCTAGCTCTCGACTTCATGTAATATCCACACACACAGGCCCCGCTTCTTAGTTTCCTTTCCTCAAAGTCAGACCTAACTTGCCCACAGATACCACACATTTGCTGAAGACAAGAGCTGGAGGTGGGAAATGAGAACATTAACTCAAAAAAAAAATGTTCACTGAAGTCATAAATCAGGTGTGAAGTAGCTTCATTTTCTCAAGGACTTCCATAAATACTTTACACAACAGGCAGAGTCGCCCGCTGGTAGCTCGGCGCTACGTTTGCCCTACTTTCTGTGACTCACTTGTGGCCCTAAAAAGACTCTCTTCTCCTTATAAAAGTTCGCTGACATTGACTTGACAATTGCAAACACACATAAGATTGTTACAGCTGACCTGTCGCACGAACCCATGAAGAAAACCAGCTGTTTAAACAGTAAGGAATAATGTTTATGTTCTGACTTGAAGTAACGTGCACACACTCCTGACGCTCGTAGTTTTTGTCATGTGTTCAAACATATATGATGACAAACAGCATGTACTAAGTACAGCTGCTCACACCTTACATCAGAATGCATTTCCACATGAATGTCTCGAAACGTTAGTTCTCACATTGTGGCTTAACATGTGATTAACACCCGTTGGTATTAGCAATAATCCTTCTGTTTGGAGGGTTTTTATGTGTGTTGTGTGTGTTAGAAAGGAAAGAACAGAACGAATCAATGGGCTAAATAATCATAACAGTAGTAATAACACTGTGGCAAGTACAAAATATTATCCACTTAATGGAAAATGGAGTTTTGTTGAGGATGTCAGCTGACTTCCATAACAATAGTTAAATGCAACCGTGCAAAAATGCTACCAGGTTAGCATTCTTACATAAATTTTCTTTATACATATTACATCAACTGACCCACTCACATCGCACACAATACATGCATGAACGTTAACAGACACACGTTGGCCAGAAATGTAGTGTTATTAGAGTTCATAAGCTGCAAAAATAAATGCAAAAAAGAATTGATGTCCATCATCAGTTTATAAAAAAAAACTTTGTCATGCTTCCTCTGTCTTGTGCTTCCAAAGTGTAGCGGTTATCACGCCTGCCTTACACACAGAAGGTCCTGGGTTAGAGACCCAGAGGAACCACGTACTTGGTCCCTCCGGGAACACCATTTTTCTGTGCGATGCTGTACGATGACAAATTAATTCAGATTTCTGTTCTTGAAATAGCCAGTTACATATTTCGAAGAAGACTGTTTTTTTTCTTTGGGGGAGGAAGGGGTGAATGGACATTCTTAAAAATTCATGTGAGGGACTGTAACAGTTTGGTCAATATAAATGACAATCTGTGATATCTTTTCATAACTGTCATAACTGTTAATGCGACCTTACAAGCTACCTACTGGTTTTATACACACATGACAAAGTGTTTGTTTTGATTGTGCCACAGGCAGAAAACCACTGCATTTACTACAGCAACAAACTGCCACATACTGTACTGTATATAGTGACGCCCAAGCATGTCACGAACTGCCAGGAACAGATCAGCCACACCTAAATTACTACAAATCTCCTCTAGTTCCCCAATAAAACAAAAATATAACATTCAACCACAACATAAAAAATGCTAATTTAATGACCTGGGCGACTTCTACTTCTCTGGTCGCCTCACTGTTACTCTGGTGTTTCTCGCTGTTGGACGACAGAAGCAGCTGCAACAGAGGAGGTGTTGTTCTGCACCTCGAAGAAAGAGCGAGTCCTAACAGGTCACAGATTCAAACACAAGCATGTGGAGTTGTACTGTAGCCCTACCTTCTTTTTTTTTTTAGCAGTTTCATACTACGCTCACAGAAGCTAGGTACGTACAACAACGTGATCGACGAGGAAATACACGGTTTATTCAGGACACCAGATCGGAGCACGTTTCGTGAGAATCATCTTCACACACCCACTGCTGCAGCTCTGAGCTGGGATTCCAGATTTAGGAGATGATCAATAACAAACACGCTGTGTGGTTATGAGGACAGCAGTGATTGATTTTCTAGCAAACTCTGTTCAGGAGCTTTTTTTTTTTTTTTTAATTGGCTGCTTGGTTAAAGTCAGAAGTTGAATCCCCTCTGACCATTTTGTGAGAAACGTTCTACAACATTCTCTCTTCAGACCTGGTGTTAAATCTCTGGTTCAAGTTCATTTGGTGCAGCAGTAAAATGCGATCATCAAATCAATGCAACCACATTGTTACGCAGAAATAAAAACACACAATCTGAGCTCATCACTCTCTATACTATTTGGCATCAAAGACTTATTTGTTCTCATACTACCACAACGTTTCAGACCACCGATGCATTCAGTCACACTTTTTCATCAGTGACGTGTTTCATGTCACAGCAGCCGAAGTGATGCTGTGATTCACTCTGAGGTGTTTCTCCTGTCAGTTAAACAGCCTTGCAAACACAGACACGCATGCAGTCGTGAAAGGACCATGATACCAAAACGCTTTGAATGGTCGACAATGGTATGATGTGAATGGTTGTTTGTTTCTAAAGTGCAAACCGTACAGGATGTACCCCACCCTCACGTACTGCTCTACTTGCCTCCAGCCCCCCTCGCCCCCGTCATCCTAAAAAGGTAAAGTAGTAAGAGATGAACAAATTGATATATATTTAATCCTGCAACCTCTGATTGAGAGATTATTTTTCCTAATATCTAACTGAACAAGTGAGTGCAGGAAGAACACCAATCACCAGAAAGGTCTGTGCTCTAAGCTCCACCTACTTTTTTTTTTTTTTACCACATACCAGAAGACAGATTTGCAGAATAGTCATGACTCTTTGATGGCTGCAAAAAAAAAACCCACGCTGTCATTAAACAAGAACCTATAGACCCTACAAAAAAGGTTCATAAACACAATTATTTATGCTTTTAATTTAGTAAAAGAAATGATAGCTCAACATAACTGTTATTAAATGTTCTGCATCTGTGATTCAACCAGGTCATATTAGCGTAATGCAAGGAGAGTTCTGTACAAACTGCAGTATCCCTTGCGAGATAGATAGTAAAATATATAATACCAAACAATATATTACAAGTATAAAAACTGGACACGACAATCAGTTTTATTTGGTTTTTATAGTGACAGAACAGTATCAGAACTCTAGCTAGGTACGTTGGGCCAACCTAACAATCCAAGGTCATGACCTTGCCAATGTTCATGTTTGATCTGCTGTTGGACCCCCCACCCCCAACTGTCAATCACACCTGCTGTCCACTCAGAATCACCTTTGACCTCTGAATGCTGAAGAGGAACTTCAACTGCAAAACTGTGACCAACACCATTCATTCATTTGAACGTTCTTTAACTGTAAGTAAAGTCTCATTTTCAGGGATGTCCTGGCCAAGAACCAACAACAACAACAACTAAGAATTCCACTTTTAGGACTAAATGTTTACAGTAAAAAAAAAAAATGATGTAAGCAGTCATTTATATCTGCACAAATTCATTCGCAGTAAACTTTTGAAAACCAAATGGAGCAATTCAAGTATTTGTATTTCACATCCAAACGGTAACCAATTAAGCAAAAATAGATGTTTAAATTCTAATAATTACTTAATTTTTTTTAAAGTAAACTTTACATTTCCTGTTATTCACAAAACCCCCTGATGTTGCTACTCTCTTGTCATTCAATTACGCGGGAGCTTTCGTCTTCTTCTTCTTCTTGTACATTATTGTGTCAACCTAATGTATATTTGTCTTCCCGTCTGTCAAGTGTTAAGTGGTTGACTGTCATTCGGCTAAACAACAGACGTCAACGACGTGTCGCTCTGAATCCACTCAACAACCAGGCTGTACATAACAGAAATCAAGCAACAACTGACGAACCGAGTCCATGTACTCTGACCCATGTCTAGACCTGCCCAGTGCCCCGCATTCCTTTTCCGCCTACTCCTCAACCGGACTCCGTGCTACAACGTATTTTGTGACCCGTGTGATTGTATAACCTCACCAGGAATTCCACAACGACACCACGGTCACGGCAGTCGCTTTCAAAGCCGGTCGAAGCTGTGCTGTCCGATATCGTAACGGGTTTGTTTGTTTGTTTGTTTGTTTTATCAGCGGTGTTTTACAAAAGTTTGTCTCTTCATTGAGTATAAAACCACAACAGCTCGGCGGCGATGACAGTTACTGCTCTGTCAGTATGTTTCGTGAACACTACGGTTACTGTTCTACCGCACTGTGCTGTGGAAATATGTTGCTAACTTTAGCGCCAATTGTTACAGAAGAAGAAGAAGGAGAAGAAGCAGAAGAAGGAGAAGAAGAAGAAGAAATAACAGTTCTCTCTCAGTGAGAAGAAGTGGATGAAGAATTTTAAAAAACAGACAACTTTAAACGTATCCTCTTTAAACTTTTTGCAAACCTTAGTGGAAAAACTTGCAGAAAAAAAGAACAACGATAAGCAGCCTCACCTCAGTGCTGTTCTTTCTCACCGCAGCAACACGATGGAAAGTTGTTCTTTTAGCTCCTCTCGTTTTTTTTTTTCTCTCTCAGTGATTCCTTCGTTTGAGGAAGTGAGACACTAGCTCCGCCACTCTGAGAGAACCTCTCTCTCTCTCTTTCTCTCTCTCACTCTCTCTCTCTCTCACTCCCTCTCTCACTCCCTCTCTCTGTGTGTGTGACGCCTACCTGCTGTGGCTTTAGAGAAACAGAGAGAGAGTCTTTTAAATAAAAGTTTCGTCTGTTATTACGACTATTTTTTTTTTACCACAACTCACCACGCATCGCGCACACACACTTTCCTTAAACCGCCCTGTTTAAATGTCTTACATTACATCTGAGCGCTTCACTGAACACCAATATAATAAAAGGTACATACCGCAATAATTTAAATTTATTCTTTTTAATCAACCCTTACGTCAATAAAACCCTGAAATTCTCGGATCACGAGTCCAGCCCTGACGGGAGATATGGTTCAGAGTTAGGGCGCGGACCAGGTGGTGCAACACGTCTTCTGGTCTGTGGTTACATCTTAACATCTTAACTGCTCTGCTGGTTTCCTGTTAAATATCTCAGCCAGTGTATAAAGTTAAACAACCGTAAATTGTTTTCTGAAATCTTAATATATATATATGTATATTAATATTTACATTTATATATATACAAATAAATAATATTTATATATTTTTTATATATATAAATAAATAATATTTTTGAGTAATATTTTTTAATATTAGTGAAAAGAGTGAGAAGTAGATATTTGACAGTAGAAATAGCCGGACCATCCAATAGGAGTTGATCAAAGGTGAAAACATGTTACTCTTCTTTATTAAGTTTTTTTTTTTTTAATTATGTTTGTGGGTAGAACCCAAAAAAACTTGTCCCCCATAGTTAGCACCAAAGGCTGATGTTTTGGGCTGTGGTCAGTACTCTCATAGGGTTGACAGAACTTTAAGGAAAGAGAAATACAAGATGTAGAAAAACATCCTGTAACGTTGTTTAAGGATCTAAGAAAAACTATTTATCTATGTTGTCTTGTATATTTCTCTGAAATGCCACAAAGACTTTACAGATTTATGCTGTCGATAGTCATCTTTGTTTCTTTTTTTCGCTTCATGTGACGAATCATACTGCAGATCTGCTGATCACCTGAGTTACTGTAGGAGACAGAACTTGTACACCAGGATCTGAGCGGCTGAGACTGCCATAAATGTATTTGAAGGAAAAGTCTGTTGTGTGGGTGATGTTTTTCTTCCCTTTTTTTGTGTGTGGCTGGGGGTGGGTTCATGTGGCTGCTAGGCTGCGGAGGCTGTTTTTGAGGTTTGAGCATTGTTTTGCTGAGGAGGTGGCAACTTTGCTTTCCGACGCCAAGAGGATTGGTTCCTGTTCCAAACTGAGAACAAGCTCTCGAATTAATCCACTGTCTTACTTTGCGTGTCTACACTCACCCCCCACCCCCCTTCCCACATACACACATACACTCACATACACACACACACGTATGTGGATAAATGAGCAATGGTCCATTCTCATCTCGATGACAAACACAAATTACTGGCCAAAGAGCTGTAAATAGAGCAAGATGCAAATGGAATTCTACAGTATGAATCCTGATGACTGAGATTTGATGCAAAACTCTTCTGAAAAAGTTCATGTCGAGTGAAACTGGCCAAGACCAGACAGTCCAGGCACAGGTGTGACACTGTTCTTCCTTTCCTCCAAAAACTGATGGAGCGTTCAGAGCATGACTCATGGTAGACACAGGAAATCTAGGTGTGTGTGTGTGTGTGTGTGTGTCTTAAAGAGTCCATCGCTCAATGACTCATCTGTGACTCCAGCCACTCATTCAAAAAGCAAACAAACCTTCTTCTTCTTCTTTCTTTTTTCTCACACACACACACAGCCATGCCATCGTGACCCACATGTACACACACGTAGAGGGTAAATTTAGCAACACAGATGTCAGACCAAACAGTGGAAACCACTGATGAGTGTTCACAAAGTGATTACATTTTTGGAATTAATCTTTGGGTTTGACGCGTCGCTTGTAAAAGCATCACAAACGAAGGAACTTGAGTGAACGATTTGTTAATGTTATCTCAATGGTTCAAGTAGCAAGGGCTGAGGTTCGAAGTCTTATCAGGAAATCTAAAAAAATCAAAGTGCACCACAGATCATTGGGAAATGTGTCCATAGCACCACCTGCAGGGGGGTTGAAGAATTGTTGTATACTTTTCCCTTGACCTTCAGAATATTAGTTGTTCAATATTTGAATGTTAAAGTGTCGGGAAAGACTGATGAAACCAAAACAAACAGCTGTATCTTGAAGCTCAGACCAGGCTCACATTCAAAACAGCCAGCGCCTCCTACAGTCATTAACGAACACGGTAATGAGATTGGAGAGCACGCCGCAGACGACCACGT